GATTTGAACATGGTGCGGCGTCTGTCAAATACTTCAAGCAGCGCGTCCTGCTCGTCCTTCTCCAAAGCGGCACATGCAGACAAACAACGCGCGATCATCTCGTCGTACCGACGYAGAATCTTGCCAATCTGCCTCGTGTCGCTGACCACCATCTGCAGCATGTCCATGATGGGATCCAATAACTTGCACAGCGCTCTCATATCCTCCCACCATTGAGGACAACCGACACATGCTGTGACCTCCGCGGCGTCGTCTCGAATCTTCTTCGTTGACCAAACAGTGTCCTTCCATCGATCGTCAACGACCACCTGCATAAGATGCGATTGCAGCAGAAGAAGTCGTCGCATCATAATCACATGCGTACCGAAGCGAGTCTCGGCGGGAAGCAGCAGAGCCTTCGTCGTGAAAGCTTGCAAAACTTCGCGAGCGTGGCTATGACGCTTGAAAAACTTTGTGACCAAACGCGCCTGAGCAATGCGGGTCGCCACCCAGTCAATGCYRCCRATGTSCTCAAGGATGAGGTCCATAACGTGTGCCACACAAGGAATCCAGAAGATGTGCTCGACACTCTCATCCTTCAGGAACACCTCCATCGCAGAAACGTTCGAACTGGCAGAGTCTGTGACGAAAGCGGTGATGTCGGCGAGCTTGATGTCAAGGGACTTCAACCTTCGCAGCCAAGCCTGCGCCAGAGTAGTGGCATCCTTCTTTCCTCGCATAACATCTGTCGCGACGTATGTGGCGCCCCGTGTAGTGCCGACGAGATAGTTGCACAACGTTTGGCCCCGAATGTTCGTCCAACCGTCTGTCATTATCGTGCAACCGTAGGTAGCTGCAGTAGCGAGGACAGGTTTCACACACTTTTGGACTTCCACATCAAGCTCATCCAAAAGTGTGGTACGGATCATGTGATACGTTGGGGGTTCTGGGGTGGGGACTCCTGGAACCCCAGGCGAGATGATCAACGTCAACATGCGTTCGAAGCTCTCAAGCTTCACACAGTTGAACGGCATGCCGCTCTCGACAATGAATCGCATGATCTGCAGGTGCCATGCGTGCTCCAGCGGGTCGTTGTAATACGAGGTCACCGCCTGCTGCCTGTAAGTGCCCCTCACTCGTGCACCGGTGCCCATACCTAGCGAATCCCACACCCCGCCCCCGGCCGCAGGTGATGCGGTGGGGCCTGGACTCGGAGCTGCAATGTTGCGCAGATTCTGTAAGGGATCCAGTGTCCCAAAAACACCGTGCTGCGAGGTCGGGCCGTTCACGGGCACAGGAGTGGGTGACGAATCCGAAACCTGGACGGGCTCGTCGAGCYGGACGTTTCCCGCACCCTCAGTGGCCGTTGCAGTGGCCTCGCCAACAGGTGCCGAAGTCAAGTCTGGTGTAGGCCGTCGTGTTTGCGAAGGAGGGGGAGGCAACCATGGATACGCAGCGGATTGATGTCCTGTTGCGGGTGCTCCTGCCACGGCCGGACGTGTGTCTGTGCGTCGAACTCTTGGGACCTTGTCCCTGTTGCCAGTGAACAACGGGGCGACGCCTGATGATGTGCCAGTGTCCTTCCCCCACCCACCGCCCTCGACGAAAGCACGAGTGCCTTGCTCGTCGAACGGCACAGGTTCCCCGACACCTGAAACTGGCACGGTGCCTTGCGCATCAGGCTGCGTTGCCACAAATGGTCTTCCATCAACGGATGCAGGAATCGTCTGACGAAGCGGACGAGGGGGGAGGGGAGCAAGTGGTGCACATGGAGATGGCGCCACTTGCGAGGCGGCAGCGGTCGACGGAACGACGTTATCGGGAAAACGAAGAGGTGGCCATTGAAAAGAGGGATGACCTAGAGGGAGACTCTGCAAGGCCTGCACGRCAGAAGCCAAATGTGCAGGACACTTGGRCATATCCTTTGACCAAATCGCGTGCCACACCRCCGSAGTGGCTACKTGGCATCTATACTCCTCGSCACGAAAAAAGTGTTCCTTCGCCTCACAAGCACCCCCACATAGAGAACGACCGCATAACCTGCACAAACAACGGCGACCGTTCTTCCTCCCGATCGCAGTGGATCCATCTAAATAACGACCACGAGCAACGAAATGCYAAACAGGATCATCTCGTTTTCCATCCGCCTTTGGATCCACCTTAAARGGGGAGTCAAAGGTCTTCGTCTTGTGACCTTTTCTACTACCCTCCGCCCTTTTCCCAGTTGCCGAGGAGGACTCCGCGGGGCCCTTCCCGTCATTGCCTCGAGGGTCAGACATGTTGTGGAGACCGAATGAAATCCGCAGAAGGGGTGAACTGAAACGAACTTCAACGCCAACGACAAAGAACTGCACCGAAGTTACTAAACAACCGACGAATCAACCTGTAAAAGATGGACAGTGACAGGAACGAACACAAGTTCCACAACAACCACAGCGACAAACAAGAGAAGGAACAAACATAAAGACCCCTAGAGACAAAAAAAAAAAAAAACACCCCTAGAAAGAAAAATAATAATAAACAAATCAACACACATTCCACGGCATCCCGTCTTTGATGCACCCCCTAGACCCCCCATGCATTGCGGCTCATGGCGGTCCCCCCCAAGAACAAGAGAAGGAACAAACACAAAGGTATAAATAAAGATACAAAGAAAAAAAACACACACACACATTCACGGCATCCCGTCTTTGCCGCACCCCTTAGAGACTTGTTAGAGTCGTAAACCCCCTATGCATAGCCGCTCATGGCGGTCCACCCCAAGAACAAGACAAGGAACAAACACAAAGGTAGAAATAAAGATAGGAAAAAAAAAAAAAAAAAAAACACATTAACGGCATCCCGTCTTTGCCGCTCATGGCGGTCCTACCCCAAAAGAAGGAACAAACACAAAGGTAGAATACTAGAAATAGAGATAGAAAGAAAAAGAAAAAAAAACACACACATTCCACAGCATCCCGTGTTTGCCGCACCCCCTAGAGTCCTAGACCCCCCATGCATAGCCGCTCATGGCGGTCCACCCCTAGAACGAGACAAGGAACAAACATAAAGGTAGCAATAAAGGTAGACCAGGAACAGCATCCTATCTTTGCCGCAACCCCCTGGAGTCCTAGACCCCCCATGCATTGCCGCTCATGGCGGTCCACCCATCATTAAGGAAGAAATAAAGATAGAAA